CGTTTCACAGATTCTTTCTTCTCTGTAATTTCCAGATGTAGATGTAAATTTTGCATGTATATTCCGGGTACTGTCACTCTGGTCACATCAGGCATACATCCGTGTTCTAGATTTTGTGAAAATAGCAGTACAGTACTGTATTGTGTAGTAATCTAGTGGTTCACTTAACTGTACAATACATGAAATATATGAGTAGGAATTGGGGTATACATTTTACTTCAGCCTTTGAGTATTAAAGTACTTATAGTGTATGTTTTTTTTCTTGTTCTTGCATGTGTACCTTCATGTGGTAGCACCAACGAAGTCCTGTTGAGGGATGTACCACACTACGGTAGCTGCCGTATAAAGAAAGTTTTGACTTGTACTGCTTTTTGTGTTTAGTCTGTTTCAAAAAGTTTTAGCTTGACTCAGTTTTCTTTTTGGGATTAGTTTATTGATGATAACAAATAAAAACTATATAAAAGGGAAAGTGGGCATCACCCTGACCGCAGCACAAGAAACATATGAGTATTCTGTATCAGCATGCTTAACTGTTGAAGAACTACTAGTGCAATAGTGTCTTCTCTTTATAATATAATTATCTCATTGTTTTTATGAGCTTATTCAGTAATTAAGTTTTACATATACTGTATATCTGTTATGTATTTTGGCACTTATGGCTGTAGAATAAAACCTATGCTCTAAAGTGTGTAAACGTCTTGGTCATTAAACTGACTTAAAGAGAAAAATAAAAAAGTGCCTAAGATGTATTATGTCTGTAGGCTGGTTACCTTTACTGCCACTAGTGTTCATCATGTGGAAATACTGTTGATCCTTCACTGCCTTCCAGTTCACATTCTGAGGGGAGGAGTTACAGTACTGTACTGCATATTATTACAGTACAGGTACAGTATATGGAAATCTTGTTTTTACCCACATAAAGGGGGGGGGGAAGGTTGTTATTACTTGACAGTATAGCCTTGAAATATGATTTAATTAAATTTTCCAGAATATGCATGAACCGCCACAAAGATAGTACCGGAATATATTCTTAATTGTATGAATCGATGTGCTGTACAGTACTGTATATCTAAAATTTGGATATACAGTATCTACTGTATTGTTATTATTTTTTCTGTTGAATTTATATATTATTGTGCAGAGTAAGATGTCTCAAACAGCTTCTGTTTGTTCAGTCTGTCACTACAGCATTACAGACTATAAATTCTTCCCAGGACAGTTCCAGTTCAGTAGTAGCCTTATATAATTAGTTGTTCTCAGACCACTAAAACATGAACACCATTGTACAATACAGTACCTGTATAATATTAGCATAATGTGAAATGTAAGCGTGTAGGAAATGAATTAAAGGAAGTTCAATGTCTTTTACTGTACTGTATGTGCAAAGCAGTTAATAGATTATACAGAGACCTCAGAGAACTACAGTATCTTCTACTGCCATAGTTATCAACTTGTAAGTGTCTTCTTGTCCTCAGGAGAGTTTGATGAAGCCCGTGATGACATGGAAGGGATTGAGGTGGAGTATCATGAACTGGAGATAACTTCAGATGAATTGAGCTTGAATGAGGATGGTGAGGATGAATACTAGTCCACACAGAGAAAACTCGGTCTCAAGAAGAGTCCTCCAAACAGAAGACTGAACATCAAGATCTCTTCAACCACAACACTCAGAAACAAAGAAAATTATCATCAAGGTTAATCCTAAACTAATAGAGATTAAATTTTTGTCACAACATTTTTATATAGATTGTACTAATGTTATTAAATTGAAGATGGACTTACCTAGATAGAGTAGAATTGGTGTCTTTTTGTTCATAAACTGGAATAAAATATATATTAAATAGGATGCAAGACAAAGGTTCTAAGAAATAGAAAATATAGTAGAACGTTTATTTAACGAGAGATACATTCCAATCGAATCCGCACTAAATCGAAGTGTTGTTTCAATGAAATAATTTAGTTTGGTACTTGAGAGAAACACAAAATACTAAAAATAATTTTATTAACTAAAAAATATGAGAAAAATATGCGTAATGATGTATATGCAGCAAGCACTCCCTGCAGTCAAGTTGAGAGCTGGACTGTACTGTCTGCTGCCTCACATCACTGGCCCTGCCCCGACTGAGAGTCTACCCAGATACACCTCAGCCCATCTCTTAGAATAAACAAAACATAGTATTTTGTAGTATTATGCTAAAATAAACTCATAAATCAACACAGCTAGAATTACGGGATGCGAAATGGTCTGTTTACTAGTGATCAGCTGATGTGAGAGGGTGGTAGCATGCCCAGAGAGGCGTCTGGCGGGAAACAGGTGCGAAACTTAAAATAGTGTGTATTTCCATATGACGCTCCAGATTTGACTCACGTAAAAAAGGAAAGATTCGCTTTAAACTGATACGTTGTCCTTAATTGTGATTGTCACTTTAAATCAATAATTTTAAATCGATTCTCGTTAAATCGACGTTCTACTGCACATGAGAACTATTTAATATGGTTTAAGGCTATGAAAACATAAAAGAAACGAATTACTAGTTTTAATTTACGGAGACACCAAAATAACGTAAGAGAATATTAATAGAATAGTCAATACATGAATGCTCTACTGTACCAGTAAGATATAACTTGTAGCTTGTAGGCTTGGCTTTGTTGGTGATTGCCAGCACTGTACTGTGATACTATATACTGTAAACGCTTGTGCTTCAGGTAGAAAAGTTCATCATTAGCGACTTGTAACATATATTATTTTATGAAGCATGAAGTACACAATTAATCATATGTGATGTATCATGTAATGCAATATGTGATATATGTACAGTATCATAATACATAAACTATGATATACAGTATGTATCATGATACCTACCATAATCTGTAATATATGTATCATGTTTTTTTTTGTTTTTTTGTTTTTTACGGGATTAGCCCACCCAGGCACAGGTCAATGATCCACATCGGGGCCTGGGTGGCGAAAATGTAATAATAATAATAATAATAATAATAATAATAATAATAATAATAATAATAATAATAATAATAATAATAATAATAATAAAGAACCAAAAAGAAATACAAAAATGAAAAAAGATCAAAAGTGAGAAACAATATACTGTATGTGTTGTCAATAGTAAGAGAAACAATTGAGACCCTGCAATTGTGTGTAAATGAGGCAGAAAGTCAGATCAGCAACCTGGGACCTGGTCACAAATTTTGTGATGCCCTGTGGCAGCAGGGTCCACCGTAGACAACACATTATGCTTCCAATATCTTCCCAGGCGGTATTACCTCCCTGTTTGGTAGCTGCCTACTACCTACTGATAAATTATATGTAATTCAGTATATGTACCATGTACTGTAATACATTATATGTGATATACTGTATATATCTTGTGATACATTATATGTGGTGTATGAAAAATTTGGTTCATTGCTGCATGTATAATGATTCAGCAATACATTACGGTATGTCTGATGTATGAGTTACATAATATATACAGTATAATATACAGGGTATGTGATATACGAATTAGGTGATAGAGCAATGAAACGGTACATTGGATAAGAAAGCAATTTTTATCACTTATATTGATTCTGCTTTAATGATTATAGCAAATTTTTGAGCCACAGAAAAGCATGAATGTAGCTACTGCACAGGGTATCTAATTCTAGGTAATTAAAATGGTGTCCACTTCATATATTGTGGTAGCATTACCAATAGACAACTCGTGTCTTTGACCATCTCTGATAGAGGGTGTACATTGATTTATTATTTATTTAATGTGTTTCACTTTATTGGATGAGTATTGCTGAATTTTTTTAGAGAAGTGGTAAGACTTCCATAGTGTTATGTGTTTATTAAACAAGTGCTGTACTGTATTGTATATGGATTGTGTTGAGTATATTATGTATAGCAGTTACTCTCAGGGAAAGTGACTAAAGGCTCTAGAGAAGTGATGGAAATGATAAGCAAATATGAGGTTGTGTGAGAGCAAGGTGATTTCTTGTTTGTCTCTTCTCTCATAATGTTACTCTATACCGTATATGGTATGTTAAAATTTTTGATGATTAAAGTCTATTGGTAGTATGTTTCCATCATGGGTTATCTTGGTTTTTCAATCGATCATGTTAATTCTCCCAAACCATCTTAAGGAACAGTAGTTAGTGTGGCAGTGCAGCTGAAACACATTAACGTCTGTATTATTAAACAACATCTTCCCTTGAAGAGGGTTGCTGTGTTTCAACCCGAGTTTTAAACTAAATGAGTCCTGAGAGACACCGCAGTACTGTACTTAACAGGGTGGTAAAATTAACTACCGAGTAATTCCAATAAAATTAATTTATAATACTGTATTGGAATTAGTTAATTTTACTGCCACACCAACCCATTAAGTACTGTACTGCGGTGTCCCTCAGGACTCATTTAGTTTAAAACTCGGGTTGAAACACGGCAACCCTCTTCATGGGAAGATGTTGTTTAATAATATGGGAGTGAGAGTATTCAGGTTTGCCTTGATAATCCATGCAGTTTTGTTCTGTTAATATAAGCTGAAGTTTTTACATAATCTTATTATTTAAGAGCTTTATTGATGATGGGTTACAACTATTTTCATTTATACCAAATACTGTACCCTTGGTGTTTAAGGAAGAGAATACAGTAATGTTAGATACAATATTGAAAACTTACAGTATGCACAACATTTAAGCCATGATTTTCTCCACCATTAATATCTACCGTATAAGATGACAAGGATAGTTCCCATTCTTTTCAGACAAAGAAGTAATAAAAACCAAAGTTCTTATTGATTATAAGAAAGTTGGAGCATTTAAGTACAAAAATCTTTTTTCTTTCTATTCTCTGACTCATAAACCATCCAAAAGTAATCAATCTTCAACAGTTCCGGTAAATCATAAAATCATCATAATGTCAATTAGTTTTGTCCTTGCAATGAAGTAATCAGCAGCCACATTTGAGCCCCAGATTTATTTTTCATTGTTTCCAGGTGAGTTTGCAGAGGCACGGGATGACTTAGCTGCCCTGGAGATGGACTATATGGAGGTAGAGGAGAACCCAGGCACTGATGTGGAAGATGATGATGATGATGGATATGACAATTAACTTGGAAAAAGTTGGATATTTGCAAATATAAGCTTCAGACAGGTCTACACAGGGGCCACTACTGCTAGCTCTCATACACAGGGGAGTTTACTGCTAATTTTCTATTATTTTTTGCATAAAATGTACAAGTAACAACTATACAGTAATGGGACTGCATCAACATTCCATTCCGACTTGTTAAGAGTGAGAAAGCCATAGATGCTAGTTTCTTAGCGTCTGAGGAGCTTTGGTTGGTGAGGAGCACTAATAGAAAAGCTCAAGTCCATCACACTAAATAAAGGGAAAACTGATGACAGTTGTATATCTGGTTCCCTTTCAGAGGATGTGGTACAGTATCAACTTCCAATAATTATTTACTTTACCATTACAATACTGTACCATAGTATGTATAGTGATCCAGCTGCCTTTTATCAACAAAGGCGGAGGATTTTAGGTACAGTACGGGATCCATCCCCTCTTGTTGAATTGTATGTGAGTTTGTTAATACTGTACTATACTTCTGTGAATGTCTCTATTTAATTTTCATTATCAGATAATACGTTAATGCAGCTAATAAAGTTATCTGTTTTATCTATCAGAGTGGTCTGTTAGCAGTACAGACTAATTGATGTAAAGAGAGATTTAGAATATGATAAACTGCACAACAATTGGCGTACAGGTGCTCCTCTACTTTAGAACATTCAACTTACAAACTTTCAGAGATACAAACATCATCACTGAGGGGGGGTTACCTGCCAGAACAGGTGTTTAATGTGGATGAGACTGGATTATTTTGAAGAAAATTCCAGACATAACAAACATTACCTAAAAGGAGAAGTGTGAGCCAGGTTTTAAGGCTGTATTGAAGGGTAAAGCTGTACTAAATATCCATAATCTTTCCATTTTTTTACAATATGTTTAGTATCTACAAGAATTGGACTTACAAACAAGCCTCAGGAACGTAACTCGTTCATAAGTAGAGGAGCATCTGTACTGTATAGACAGTACCATATTGTAGTTCCTCGGTGATCATATACAGTACTAGGACTTGTAAAGTCCTTTTTATTTTTAGAAAACATAGCACTGATGTTAGATTTAATGTTATTTTATTGTTATTTATGTTTTTTCATAAGATTATATAGCTACATTGCCATTTTTTACAGATGTTGAAGCAAGTCATGAAAAGAAAAGAAAATTAAATCCAAGAATGTCGTTAAATATTGACAATAATATGTACAGTACTGCCGTAATGTTTTTCAGAATAATTTTAGCCTCCTGAGTAACATTTTTGGAATTTATCTATTATGTTATGCTTTTGATGTAAAATATGTAATGCTTAATTTTAAGTGATTTTGGGGTTTATAGAAACCAACCACAGAGTTATGGGTAAGTGATTGGCTGTCTCGGATTGTTTGTGGCTCACTCTTGTGTAGAAGATTACCAGGAAAGCAAATGGTGCCTTTGAAATTGTTTCCTTCATGAACATTTCTGTTGCTCCACCTTCACATCTTAGCTTCTCTTAACACTCATGCAATGCTGCCTTAAAATTCCTGTTATTACTCATTGCTCTACTGTATTTTATAGTCTTTGTTGTTCTTTTTTAAATTCTTCATTTTTGCACATTTGTAAGGTGGTTTGTTTAGTTGAAGCAGAAAGTTACAAGTTTCACATACCTGTATGTAACACATCTACTTGCAAAAATCTTTGGAATGAATCCTATTATTGAATTTAGGGCATAAAGGATCACAACTATCAGGACATTTTAGAAAGATTTCAGAAGATAACCTATAAGAATATGTAGATGGCACTAATCTCACAGGTTCTGACAAAGAAACATCACCAGTGTAGGTATTTATCAATATTCATTACACCATTTCATGTTTATCACGAATTTAGTCATACGGTATTTCCGTTCTAATTTTTGACTGCTGGGAGGTGGTTAATTAGTTGTTTCAAATTCTTAAAATAAATTCTAACAATCCTTAATACAAAAGATACTCCCGCAATCTCATGATCTGTATAGTCATATAACTATGTACAGTACAAGTTTGCTCCCTCCCAAAATGAAGCAGTATCAACCCCAAGTGAGATAAAACAGCACACCTGCACCAGATAACAGTCAGGGTAAGTAAAGTTTGGAGACTCATTCCTGTGATTCAGTTTCACCACGGACCGAACTTTTGTCCGCTACTGTACATACAGTACGGTACAGTACTATAACTACTATGATGTACTTCCCCTCTTCACTGTCTGTGATATAATCCGTCCATTTTTACTCAATAATAAATAATATAGACATCAATAACCAATAATTTTTTATGTAATTTAAGGATCTAATTTTAAAGCTAATTATGATACTCTTAACAAACAATGAGACCAGAGAAAAATATCTGAACTTACCAACAGTTTTCTCACTATAATAAGATTAATTCTCATTGGCAATCCTCTAACATTACTTGCAACATAACTTTGGTCTTCCCATCTTCTGTTTGCTCATCTTACCTGAATTTATTTCATTAACAGTTGCACAGTCTCGGCTCATATTCCAAATATCGTAGATCAATCTTTATTTAAGTTGATCAGTAGATCAATATACCTGTACTGTAATATACCTACTAATTAAGTCATCAGTTCTCTTCAAAAGTTCAATTATTTTTTAACTTCAAGTTTGGTCATGAACTGAGAAGAATAGCTATTGAACTCTCTGTCCCTTTTTCACCAGTTCAAACTCCATTCATAATTTTCTCTTCCGGTGCACAACTGTAAGGGGACCACTATATAGATACAGGGTATGGAGTCCACCCAAGTGTTTGTGTCCACCCTGAATAGTTTCTGGACAACTACAAGTGTAATTACTGTATTTTTTAATCAGTTTCTTATGGAAGCATCTTTTGGATCCACGACCATGACTGAATTTGAATTTAGGAGCCATATGTCACAATTTTAGTTGGCTGATGTCCAAAGTGACTGAAAGAAATTAAGTCTGATATTTCCCCAAAAATGAAAACTCTTCAGACACTGCCATTCTTTGCTCTTCATTATTTTTCACAGCATTGCATTTTCTACTTTTCCAAATACTTTGAGTGTACAGTAATAAGTTTCTAACACGTCTTACAATGCCAAAAGCAAATTTTTAGGTTGCAATTTTATGGATGTGAGTCCCACCACAGATCCATCCCAGTTATTTGGCCCGCCACAGCCTGCTTGAGAAAGTAGATAGTCAGAGTGAAAGTGCACAGTAATACAATCAAAAGATACAACAGTAGGAGGATCCAAAGGAATATGGCTTGAAACAAATTTTTTTTTATCACTTTAAAGGTAATAAGTGGTGAATATAGAGGACATATTCATCCCCCAAAATGTGATCATCCCAAGAACCATATACTGTACAGTATATGTTTTTAATTGTAAGAGGATGTACAGTACATCTACTTACTCTCCTGGAAGTAAATGAAGGCTCTTTTTAATATAGTACTTTACTTTATTTGAAGCAGTATCATATCATATTGACAAATTAAAGTACTATACCCACAAATCAACTTCTTAAACAAGAACTTTAAATTATTTCTTGTATCTAGATAATAAAAAATCATGACAGCATTGCACACCATTATATCACTGCCCCTGTTCCATCTTCTGCAAAGGCTTGTCCAGTCCACACTTAAACCAAATTATATGGGTTTCTTCAACATAAATTTAGGGAATATTATTATACTTTGGTCATCTGTAAGCAACTCTGCCGTGGAGTGGATTGACAAGCCAACTTAAGCTAATTCACAAATGTATCGGAGATAATATTTTTAATCAATAGGAAACTATTCATTATACTGAAAGCAAAATTAATGATCAAATTATATGTTAAATAAAAAACAAATAAAACATGAACTTGCACGGTGTTTTGATAAAAACTTATAGAGTGTTTATATAAAACTGAGTTTGTGATTAGTATAACAAAAGAAGCCCTCAATAAATATTTTTTTGCATGTGCACACACAGCAAGGAAAAGGTAAGTGCTGTATCTATGGTATATCGCTTGAAAGATCATGATGATGTATTAAGACCAACCCCCTATTTACGAGAAAAAAAAATTCTCACAAATGACGGTCATCGTCTGGCCAACACAGAATATGGAACGCATCTCTCGGTACACTTGTCAGCTGTGGTCTACCTGTGCACCGCTACCCAGTGCACTACAATCTCAAGCTTTGTTCCATGGTGATTTCACATGGCTGTGACCGTGTAGCTCATTGATTACTGTATTGGTCAGTATCAGTGTGTGTGTGGTTTTTTTTTTTTACCACAGCGAGAGAACATCATTAACGTTCACACTGTACTCTTTTTTTTGGTGATTAAGTGATTTTTGCTACATTTTTTGTGTTTAAAGTGCTTTGCCCATGTTGTGAACATGATGTGAGCAGTGTCGGCCGCTAACGTTGTTTTACGCTATCATCGTTCGCTCTGTTTTTGTGACTGTGAAGTGAACAGTGTAACTTTGAAAATGGCTGGGCATCTGACGGTGACCAAGCTTGTTCTTAACAATGTGGTGAGTGTTGTTTAATTATGTTTTATGTATACTGTATTATTATTATAGGAATTTTATTTTCCGTGATACATGTAGGTGTCGGACTAGCTGAGAACATTCCATTGAAACCTATTTTACTGTACAGTATATAGATCCTGATTTACGATATTTCGACCTGCTATGGGTTTTACATGAATGTAACCCCATCGTAAATAAGGGGATACCTGTATAAGACGCAGTAGGATGCAAGGACCACTCTAACTTCAACTGTTACACCAAAGAAGGTTTCTCTTATGAGGCACAGAAGGATCATGGTGAAAGTGGCTGTTGACACTGGTGGATCAAGGGTTTTTATGTGGTGAGTCAGTGGGGTTGGAGCAGTTCTCAGCCCATCCTAAAAAAAATTACACCCAACAAACTAACAATGTGGGTTATATAATAGTTCTGTGAGTAGTTATTGTTCAAGAGAATAAGTACCTGTAGTCACTATATGAGTCTTACGTAATCCTCTAGATATTTACTGTAGCACAGTATAACCAAAAATTTTGTTATTAGTGGGGGCTGAAATCCACTTCCACCCCCTCCCTAGTTAGTGGTGGTGGAGGGACAGGAAGATTATGTTATTGGTGGTGAAGGGACAAGGAGAACATGTTAGTGGTGGGGGGGACAGGGAGAACATGATGGTGATGGGGGAACAGGGAGAACATGGTGGTGGAGGAACGGAGAATATGGTGGTGGTGGAGGAACAGGGAGAACATGGTGGTGGAGGGGCAGGAAGAACATGTTAGTGGTGGGGGGACAGGGAGAACATGGTGGTGGTTGAACAGGGAGAACATGGTGGTGGTGGAGAGGCAGGGAGAACATAGTGGTGTGATGGAGGGAGAACATGGTGGTTTGTGGAGGAACAGGGAAAACATGGTGGAGGGGCAGGGAGAACATGTTGGTGGTGGCGGAGGGAAGGAAGAACATTGTAGAGGAACAGGAGAAATATTGGTGGTGGTGGAGGGACAGGGAGAACATGTTGGTGGGGGGGGCAGGAGAACATGGTGGTGGTGGAGGGACAGGGAGAACATGTTGGTGGTGGTGGAGGGAGGGAAGGTGTAGAGGAACAGGGAGAACATGGTGGTGGTGGTGGACAGGGAACAGGAGAACATGTTGGTGGGGGGGCAGGGAGAAATGTGGTGGTGGAGGGCAGAGGGGGGGGCAGGAGAACTGGTGGAGGGGCATGATGGTGGGGAGGGGCAGGGAGAACATGATGGTGGTGGAGGGTGGGAGAACTTGATGGTGGAGGGCAGGGAGATGGTGGTGGGGGACAGGGAGGTGGTGGTGGTGGAGGGACAGGGAGAACATGGTGGTGGTGGAGGGACAGGAGAACATGTTGGTGGAGGGGCAGGGAGAACATGATGGTGGTGGAGGGCAGGGAGAACATGATGGTGGTGGAGGGCAGGAGAACATGATGGTGGTGGTGGTAGGGAGAACATTGTGGCTGTGGAGGGGCAGGGAGAACATGGTGGTGGGGGGGCAGGGAGAACATGATGGTGGTGGTGGAGGGACAGGAGAACATGGTGGTGGAGGGCAGGGAGAACATGTGGTGGTGGAGGGACAGGAGAACAGGGGAACATGATGGTGGTGGAGGGGGAGAACATGATGGTGGTGGGGAGGGAGAACATTGATGGTGGTGGAGGGGCAGGAGGATGGTGGGGCAGGAGAACATGATGGTGGTGGTGGGGTAGGGAGAACATTGTGGCTGTGGAGGGCAGGGAGATGTGGTGGTGGAGGGACAGGGAGAACATGGTGGGAGGGGCAGGAACATGTTGGTGAACATGGTGGAGGGACAGGAGAACATGTGGTGGTGGGAGGGGCAGGGAGAACATGATGGTGGTGGTGGGAGGGGTGGAGGGGGAACATGGTGGTGGTGGTGGAGGACAGGAGAACATGATGGTGGGTGGAGGGACAGGAGAACATGGTGGTGGTGGAGGGACGGAGAACATGGTGGTGGTGGAGGGGGAGTGGAGGAGAACATGATGGTGGTGGAGGGGCAGGGAAACATGATGGTGGAGGGGCAGGGAGAACATGGTGGTGGGGGGGGTAGGGACAGGGTGGTGGTGGAGGGACAGGGAGAACATGGTGGTGGTGGAGGGGCAGGGAGAACATGGTGGTGGAGGGACAGGTAGAACATGGTGGTGGAGGGACAGGGAGAACATGGTGGTGGAGGGACAGGGAGAACATGGTGATGTGGAGGGACAGTGAGAATATGTAATTAATAGGCCGTACTCAGTCAAAATACGAGTATATGGATCACCTGAAGGACCCGCATCCCTGCTTATTTCAGCTAAAGATTAACCCATCTAACGTGATTTTGGGAGATGGGATTAGGTTAGCGTTCAGGGGGGGGGGTAATCTTAAGGTGAAATAAACAGGTAGAGATTCTTCAGGTGATCCTAATATACTGTACATATAGGTGTCACGACTTAGCTGATGCCCACTGCAAAAAAACTAGTTTCAAGAAGCCAATAGCACAGAAAACATCTTTTTGGAGGAGTAAGAGCTGTGATCTCATACGTACAATTTACCACTTATGTTATGTAAGTGTGAACTCTTTCAAGTGCATGCTAGACCAACAGTGGCGAATATCCAGATAGACTCAAGTGCCTCAACCTTCCCAGTACCTGCTTGTCAACAGTGAAAAATCTAATATTTACAATTGTTCGCCTGGTTAATAACTGAGGAGGAGGATAAGTTAGTAAATAACTATAACTTCCATACGTGAATAGGCATTTATAAGCCTCATTTCGGAACAATTATAGTTTGACAATGAATGTAAGAGCACACAAGCAAATCCACATATAGGAGTGAAGTGTCATGGTAGGGGGATCATGTAGCTCTCTGCTCCTATAGTCCGCTAATAGTACTTTTTATCTATGTGGTGTATTTCAGTATTTAGTTCAAAATTGTGACAAGTCTCCCCCCCTCAGTCCGTTTTCTTTCCGTTGGGGTGCTAAGAACATTTTTGCCGGGAGATGGCGCACTGCACTGACTCGGCCCGCGGCATCTCAGTGTGTATGTGACCAGTGTAGAGAGAAGGTGTATGTGCGATCACTTATGTGTCTAGTGAAGGGGTTAGCTTTTATAGCCCCAACCCATACCATGGGATGAGGGAAAGAAAATTACCTCTAAGGACTGTACTACAGAATTTTATTAACCATGTGGATAGTTTAGAAGGCAAGAGGAGCGAGGGAGATGATCAGTACGAACAAGAGTTTCAGGTGAGAATGCCCACCCGCTGCCCACATACCTGATCTAGTTCTACCTCCTACCTCACTCACGCTACATCAAAACGTTTGTTGTGTATGATGAGTAGCGATGTTTATGCATAATAAATTGGTACTAATTATGAAAAGTTAGAGAGGTTTCATGGTCAGGTGTTTAGTTCATATATGTAAATATAGGTTGTGCCGCAAGGGCACCAGTACACTACACTTGTCAAATATGTTGGAGGGGGCACCGTAGAGCCTGGTAAATTACACGATGTACATTGTTATTAATAGTTTTATTTTGTCAAAACAGTTTACTTATGTAGAAGTAGTTATTGTAGTTGTGGTATTGGGGAGGTGTGTGGGGGGGGGGAGGAGGAGGGTCACGTCGGGACTGTGGCAGGTAAGGCGGACAGGTGAGCCTCTGTAGGCCTCGTCCACCACCCTGCATGTGGCCGTGGCCTCAGCTTCCTCGCATCCTCTCTCTTCCATTTTCACTCACTGCCAGTAACTTAATATTCTTATTTTAGTGCCAGGCTTACATTAACGTAGTTCTCTCCCTTATTTTTTCTATTAAAATAAAATATTGTCAGGACTTGAAAACTGCAACTTTTGCCAATATGATTATTTTGTCGTAACAACAATTGTAAAATGGTACTATACAATGCTAACAAATGATACTTCTTATAATAGTAACAATGGATTTATCCGTTTGTGTTGGGTAGGTTAATCGCATTTGCTTTGGGTGGCTCAAACGATACGTCAACACAAATTTGTTGACTCAAATTTCATAGTTTAGTATGTCATTAATATTTGTAAATGTAAAATTTACTGTGTATCAAAACAGGAATCAGTGTATCACATGTTATAACTGTGGCCAGTGTGAGGGAGTGACCGTAGAATTAAACGCGCGGCCTCACGCGGGCAAGGCCACCAGGGGCTGGCACAAACACAACACCTACACATTAGTATGCATGAGCAGTGCTCCTCTTACCGTAACATGCAACATCCTTGGGTCAAGGTGTGGTTGAAATGATAACTGAATTGATATAGTGTTGTTACATGCCTTGCTTATACCAAGATTGGTCGTTGGGTGTTATAAAGTTGATTGTTCGAGGCTTATTCAACGAAGACTGTTTGACTGCTTGTTGGGTATTCAACAAGATCCCTCCTACTCGTAGATTTTTTTGTAGTGATAATATATACTATTATATAGAATAATTGTATACATTAAGCTAGTACAAACTCCATAATTCAACGCTGATCCTCTGCACTGGGAGGCTCAAGTAGACAATTTCCTTATCTAAAATTGAAACAGTTAAAAGACCCCTTGATTATGAAAAAAATATACGTCGGTATGTTTGACGATCCATGTGGGTGTGGATTGTATAAATTGACTTGATTTGCATATCTGTGACTAACACGATCAGTATACAGTACTGTACAACGTAAACTATCAATAATTTCCATGTTAATTATATAGCTATAGACTATATTGAGAATATCACCTTATAGCCTCATAAAGATCTGACACTGTTGTGACCTTGATCATGAACCAATTGTATGTTAGTCACTGCCCCAAGCTATTACCCTGTGTCTACAGAGTTTGTGATACACTTTGCCTAGTTTTGAGACAACGCATAAGGTTAAATAACCCTTTGCGCTTACTGTACTTTTGTCTACACTCGGCAGCGATAATAATACAGTAGTAATGATAATGCCAATAAGACTGATGATGATAATATACCTGTAAATTTAACGGCGCCATGTCCTGAATATTCAACTTTGAAATATGGGTGCTACTGCAGTATATGGTCTACCGGGATATTTACACTGTAGTGTACATTAACCGGTTAAGTTAGGTTAGGTTAATTGACGCTACAGTGTAGATATCCCGGAAGACCAACTCCAACTCGGTAAACCACTTATAGTGCAAATATCCTGGTAGACTGCCTACTATATTAGCATCAAAATATGATAGCTGGAGATATAAAATTTCTTAGTTTTTGACGACTAATACAAACAAAATTTGTTCAAATATACTTGATCCAAAGCACAGTTCCACAATGGGACAAACGGTACTACAGTATTAGGTCGTGTTGTGGTTCAACTGTGTAAGGGGAGTCAAATAATCAACCTAACCGCAGGACCCCACACGATCTTGCCATATACTGGAACTATCATAATGAGAATTCTGGTTCTTATTACAGGTCTTTACATTATAGCCAGTTAGCCACACATGAAATGTTTTGAAATTCAAGATTTGATGTTACACGATCATGATTTTATAGCAATATTATTTACTGAAACATATTAACTTATTTTGTTCTCGTATTTTATGAACCAAAGTGTAATCACTTACCGAAAGGCAATTATATACGGTATGTTAATTTTTATTATTCACTGGTAAGATCTCACATAGTGAATATGGCATGAATCTAGTAACAAACATTTGCCTCTATGAGCGTCAGTTAATTAAGCCTTGACGGGAGATGCCACGTACTTAACTCACCCTCACTTATGAGTCAAAAATTTTGCAGCCGTGAAATTGTTTACTACGTGTTCTTTTAACTCCGAATTTTACTGAAATATATTCAAGCTATTAAGGTGGTAGGGTCTCTAGAATTTATTTTGTGCAATGAATGATCCGAGTAACTTACTTTTCATTTGACATCCTTCGTTTATGAGTCATTAGTTCAACAATGTTTCAGCGAGACTGCAGGTGAGGAATATAATTATGCTGTGTACACTTTCATACCAGTGCACTAGTTGTCAAACACTTCAATTTTATCATGACTGGGTATGTGTTTGGCAATATATTCAAAGGTTCGTCTGACACTTGATAATGAAACAATGTGTATATTTCATTTGGTTCTCTCAAGACAAACGGGAGAAATACCAACGAATGCACAAAGAAGTATGTCATCTTGTGTACAACATTCATGTGTTTCACTTTCCACTTTTCTTCGAATACCTCGAATTTCAGTATGTAACGCCGACTGTAATAAATGACTTGGTTTTACAAAGAATAACTTCTGTTGTGTGTGTGTCTGAGCACAGAAATTAATCTGCATAAAATGTGTATTAATGTGAAAATACACATTAGTTTATTTATTTTTCCACGTGGTAATCCTTGTTCTTTAATAGTGATGTAACTTAAGTACTTTCGTGCTTAACTTTCACATAATTAGTCCTGGATTTTCGTAATGTGGTTACAGGTAGTTTGTATTGTTGAATTAGCCTTAGTGACGCAGATTTTGCATGGCTATGACAGATTTCGGTAAGGTATTTTTTTTTAAATTTGTTAGCTAAGAAAAAGATCAATCTATTCTAAGGTTTCACGAAATAACTCCGCCAGTCCAATGATACTGAATAAACCAAGTGCGGTCTTGAATTGTTATTCAAAGACCTTGGAATAGATGATAAATACTAGAGGTGTTAGGGTGTAGCAATATTAAAAATGTAGGAAATACTGTACATGTTTTTGTAACGTTAACAGTGTGCTGGTGTGTGAAGATGTAACACAACTCACCAGAAATACGCATGGAACATTACTGAGTAGATCAATAACAGCTTCACATGTATTGTAGAACTTTATGAAGTAATTTTGTAATATTTAGATTATTTTTTTGCAAACTTTCTGCTTGTATATATATATATATATATATATATATATATATATATATATATATATATATATATATATATATATATATATATATATATATATATATATATAATACCATTCATTGCCTACTAGGGAGTAGGGTTAAGGGAGGATTCTCAGTGTACAGTCTTTTTGTATTATTATTTTGAAATAGCTAGAGAGGAATGGTGATGATTGTGGTGTGCATTTGTTGGTGGGGGAGAGGAGGGAATGGCAGTGGAGAAGGAGGGGCAGTTGGTGTGGGGGTAGCTCCTGGGGGTGTGTTGCAACTCTGCTGTGTTGACACGACTTTGCAACTTTTCTTCAACAACATAGAATAATGAACCCACCTGGTTTTTAAGTGTTTCACGGCTTGCAGCGCTCTCATACTTGGGGGTGCGAGTGTGGTCGGCGGAGGGAGGGAAGAAAAGGACACAACTAATGGGAGAGACGAAAGAATATAAAACAGGATAGCCTGAATAGGAAAATGGAGGTAGGTAAAGGGAAAGGAGGAGACTAATGCGAGGGTGAGTCAATGAAAAGAAATGTTGCAAAAATAAAAGGAGTAAAAGAAGGGGAATTTGGGAAAAATACCAGTAGCTCGCAGTTACGGGCGATCAGGGGATGCTGGGGGGGGGGGGCAGAAGAGCAATTATGGTGAGAAAGGGATGGTCACTCAGGGGAAGTGAAGAGGAAGGGCGGTGGGAGAGAGGGAGAGCGGTAATAGTATGCCTGATAACATCTCTTATCGGCCTTGATAATGACCGTCTTATCTCTCGCCATGACATCACCAGCGGTGATCATAAGTCTAGGTTACGGTGTTGTCTATGGTCTTCTGTCTAGAATTTTTATACATGTATATATCTAAGTATTGTATATGTTGATGTACTAATATCTGTATCCTCCATCCTTTCAGCAGTTAGACTACGTAATTGTATTAATGATGTAGCTCGTGGTCGCCAACCTAATCGGTTTTTAATCCTAACTTCCTGTAAAACACGTCCACTTTTCATTATTGGGGAAGTTCGACGTAAATGACCCCCACTAAACACTATACCCAGAAGTCCGAGTCATGAGGAAATACTTGTGGTGGTTGGGGAGGAGGCGGTGTTGACTAGGGCAACTGTGGCGATATTTGTCTGTCTTGTGGCTACACTGTCAACTTCAGCTTCCACTCCCGCCACAACTACACCAGTTTGTCATTGTGCGTGGTCGTGTTTGTGTTTGAACAATGATCCCCATTTTGTTGTGTGTTTACATTGTCTTACAATGCTAATGGTGTTGTTCATTTACTAAAAAGTGTATTAGTTGTAGGCGGTATTCTACCTCGCTCTAAATGTCGTACCTTGCTCTAAATTACATACTG